TGCAGTTAAATAAATCACCTGTGCATTACAAAACCATAATGGAGGGAATGTTGCTTTACACTGTTATGTTGTGAGGGCAGGTTGCATAAACTGAGCTGCTATTGTAATGTCTTTGAGTTCAGAAAATATCTAATTTAGGTGGTGACAATGTTCAAAGTGTTTAATGGGTTAGATAAAGAAACTGCTTTCTCTCGTGTGGTAAAAAAGTCCACAGGGAAATGATCTTAATGCTGGATCCAGACCATTTTGGAAGGTAATCGACACAGATTCTTCTTACAAAGGAGACTAAGAATCTGGAATTCTTTGCCTGAATACGTGGTGGATGCTGAGATTACTGGAGCTCTGAAGACTGAGCTGCATGGAATTTTACAATCGCGTCGGAATATTGGGGGTTGTGGATCAATAGCGGGTGAATTCGTTCGGTGGACAAATTCTCCATTGTCTATTTCAAGGAGGAACAGGCCTGAGGAGTTGAAAAGCATACTCCTGTGCCTGTGTTCGTCGACTGAGATGTATCAAATTAGATAGCACGTTTAAAACAAAATTTAGAGAGACGTAATGGATTGAGTTAGAGATGAGACCGGCAACTTTCAGCATTCATAAATGGTGCTAATTATCTCACATTTCTTTAATCGTATCAAATACAATAAATGAATGTCCTATTTTAAAGAATACCAGAAGGTTTAATTGTTTGTGCAAGAGTGTTGACACATCATTCGTAAGGACCTGCACATAGTACGGTCTAAAGTGTTCAATTGTTCTTGCTGTAGGCAAAACAACTGACAGAAAGCGTTAAGACTCAAGTCAGTGACTCGGCAGTCCCAAAGTCCCATCTGCTGCTTGATTAAATTCTAGGTTAACGTATCCCTGTGATGCAATTACACGTCAGAAGGGGAATCCCTGCAAATGCACTTTGACTGATAAGAGAGCTGCCAGCCGTGCTGCTATTAATAGGCATGCTGGGGCTAGATTCCAGACAGTGAGATCCATGCCAGAGTTTAGTGAGGATTGGACTTTCATGTCACAGCTGGTTACACCCACAGAAATGTCTCCCTACATATGTGATAACAAAGGCTGAGTAACTTGAGTACTCTGTGCTTAAATTAGAACTGCCTGCTTTCATACAACACCACACATTTTGTACCAATGCCCAACTAGAAAAAGAATTTTAAATACCTCAGTGTTTGTGGTGCAACAGCTCGGTGTACATTCAACTAAGAATGACCATTTGTAGTTAACTGTTTGCTCATTAACCCTGGTGTAAACTTCTAAAACATTTCAACTGGCCTAATCCTGTCAAACATCAACTTTGCATTCTTAAAGTCAGTCTCTTATGTTACTGTATCACATCCAATTGATGAGTCAGTTATAAATTCTTTACGGAATTAGCTTGTTACGGAGCCAATGCCTTAATATTTACACTTTTCACCCAAGATGAAGAAATGGTGCTGGTAACGTCAATATTACTGTGCTGACACTCCAGTAAGATCAGAGATCGAAATCCCAAGTAATACACTGAGGATTTTTGGTCCCGTTGAAATGCAGTTTACTGCAGAAACTCCAGAGAAGTTTACTGATCTAACAGTGGCTACATTGAAATGTCTTGTTCATCTTCCCATTAAAGTCAGTGACATCCATGTTGGAGCATTGGCTACAAAACACTGTCATAAAAATACAAGAAATAGGAGCAGGAGTAGTCCACATGGCTTAACATGCATACTCCACAATTCAATTTGATAATGGTCTTCAATTTCAATCACCATATCCCCTGGTTCTTTGACATGCCACAATATTAATGAGAAAATACAACCCTGCAAAAAGGGCAGAACTCAACTATTTAGTTACAAGTTATTATTTTTAGGTCTACCAATCCTTAAGGAATTGATCTGCAAAATAAGTGCACAATACTCTCAATCACTCTACATATCCACTAGAATACTTACCGACTGAGAGCTGTTGCTCTTTAGGTTAAGAAGCTACAGAAGCTACAGATCCCAAATGGATCTTTAGTAGGAGGAGGTTTGAGTAGATAAACACCATTCAAGATAAAAGAACTTGCATCTATAATGCATGTTTCACGGTCTTGTCCAAAGAGCTTTGCATCTAATGCAGTTCTTTTGAAGTGTAATCACTATAGTAATGTATGACATACAGAAACTTTGCATACAGCAAGGTCCAACAGAAAGCAACAAGATAAATAATCTTATCATCTGTTCTAGGCACTGCTTACGGATCAATGTTGTCTAAGATACCAGAATAATTCTTGTGGTCATATTGCTGTGAGACCTTTAGCATTTGTCTGAAACAGCAGATGGGGTCTCACTTTAATATCTCACCTGAAAGTTGCCGCCATCTTCGACAGTGTCAATACAGATGACATGCTCACGCCGATAGATTGAGACCTGAACTCCTTATTCAGAGGTGTGTTAGAAATGGGTGAACACTGACATTATCTTGAAGCTCTTCTCAGCTGGAAATCCCTAGGTTTTCAATTATTCTCATTTAAAGTAACTTCTTTGCAGAGCTGAATTTGCGCTACAAGTTACCGTTGACAAAAAATGGTTTTGTCTGCACCGTAAGTTGTTCTCTCTTGCTGGCATCAGAGTAGGCATAACAGCAGTTAGCTGGAAGATCACATTGTCTGATAATATTGGCAGCACGCTGGCACAACTGTATCACATTTCAGACTCTATGTCTATGGACATTATTTTACGTGCCATAAGTTGCCTTAACTAGTGTTAATTCTCATCCATTTAATTGGCTGAAAATTGTGTCTGTGTAATAGGTAAAAACAGTGTGCTGCTTAGCAAGTGTTCATTGTATCTCACAATGCATCCTGTTTTGAATTTCCTCTTTAGGTTATCTTAGTTGAGAATCTTCTTTTTATTTTATGTCATTCCAATGACTAACCATCTTGCACAACTCTCAGGGGGAGGCTGTGAGCTGAAGCAGTTAGAATACTTGGAAAAAACAAGATGGTTCACTTCCCCATTCTGTAACTATTAAGGGGAAATGCTGAGAACTGCCTTGAGTTTGGGGTTAATGCTGTTTTTCATTGGCATTCTTACTTGGATTCAGAATTGCTCATGAGGAGTGTTTGATATGACAATGTGGCTGCAAAACTTACAGAATGCAATGGACAAAATATTATATAGAGGTGGGAAGAACAATGGCAGATGAAATTTAACACAGGCAAGTGTACCACATTAGATATGTAACAGATACACATTCACAATGTTGAAAATAAGTGATATACACATTCTAAGCTGAAATAAAGAGATTTAGTAGACTCGAAATGTCCAACTGGTGCAAAGCAGCAATTAATAAATCCAGCAGCAATTAATAAACTCTTTTCAGTTGAAGGGTCTGGGCCCGAAACGTCAGCCTTTCTGCTCCTATGATGCTGCTTGGCCTGCTGTGTTCATCCAGCTCTGCACCTTGTTGTCTCGGATTCTCCAGCATCTGCAGTTCCTACTATCTCTGATTCAATTAATAAATCCAGTAGGATGTTAAACGACATCACACAAAACACTTTAATACAAGGCAGAGGAAATAATGGTCAAAAAGTACTGTGCGGTGGTGAGCACTCTTATCCAGTTCTGGTGAATGAACCATGAGAAAATATTTATGTATTGGAAGTTCACGTCAAAGATCTGGGTTATGAGGAAGGACTGAAGATATTTGGGTAGTTCAGCCTGGACAAGAGGCCTCTTACGGCAGGATGTTAATGGAATAGTCAAAATATTGCTTTAAATTATGTGTGTAAGTCAAATCCTCTCAGGTTCAGTCTAGCAAGAGACAAATATAAGACTGCTGTCAGGAAAGCTAGCTTCACACACAAAGTGATTAATACACATTGTGCACAAAGGTATTACAAACATACAAACTTCCATGTTGTTGTTCACTACTCCTTGCTGTCTGTCTGTACAACACTGTTTGTTTACTTCTACCTTCCCACCAATAGTTTGGTTGTACACTTTAGCACAGTTGAGAGACACGATGGTAACTTGTTCTGGAGCAATGTACACATGCCTCCACGGCTAAACTAGTTGAATACCTGGCCTAAGACCGGGGTTATTGTCAATGAATAAGTAGTGAGCTAGATATCCACTGTCCTACAACTTGCATTTAAAGATTGCCTTGAGTGTAGAAGTTTGGTGGAGTGATCTAATCAAGGCATTTTCAATTCTACAGGGATCTGTTACGTAGATACAGTAAAATATTTCCTCTGTTGGGAATCAAGAATGCAGGCACATCATCTTAAAATTAGAACAAGGCCAATTGGGAGTGAAATTAAGAAGCTCTTTCTCACACAAAAGAAGCTTAATTCTTTCCCTAACACCACCACCATTTTCCAACCCTCCCCCCTCCCCAAACCCCACAACACACTTGCACACAAGACTGGTGATACTGAACAAATGATAGACTAAGATTTGTATTAGGTAAAAGTGTTTAGGGATATAGAACAAAGACTGGTAAGTAGAGTTGAAGTGCAGGTCAGCTAATTGTTTGGCAAGCTAGTTTCAAAGGGCTGTATGTCCTATTCCTGTTCCAATGTTCTATTGATAAACTTGCATTTGTAAAAACAATTACAAAAGGGCATTATTTTCTGAAATGAAATAGAGCGTTGGTTTATACAGCCACCATTTATTACTCCATATAAAGAAATCTGTCTGCACCACGACTGTGGAATGATCTCAAACTGGTTTTCTATCGGGGGTCAGTTGAAATGTGACATTTGCATGTTTCACCTCAAACAACGAGGAGCTGTTGAAATGCAAGCCCTGCGGCCGTGCTCTTAATCAGTTTAAAATCTATAGGAGTCAAGTTAGTACACTGAGGCGAAGCTTTGTTACATATTTGCTGTAAATTATCCAGCTCAGAACCAGTCGGTTAGCCTTTCTCAATAAACACTTGTGTGATAGGCAGCTACATGTGACAACAGAAACATCTGCGCAAAACTTTCAGAGCAGAAAAAAACTGTAGAGTTTGCTACTTACACAGTAAACACTGGAATCCAGGGGTCAGCTCAGGATAACTTACTTGATGCCACATGTGCAGTGCTCTTATTACAGGCAGGCACAGCATTTTCTCTCCCCCTCCCCCATCAAATACATACACCACACGCAATAGCACAAGGACGCATATTACAGACACAGCCATAGCGAGAGATACACACGCATACAGACATGTACACACACATTAACACACATACATAACACACCCAGAACCATGCTCAGAGCTACAGGCACAAACACTCAGACACAGAGATACACACGCAGACAGACATGTAAATACACACACACACACACACACCCAGAACCATGCACAGAGCCACTGGCACAAACACACTCAGGCACAGAGAGATACGCACACATACTCAGAACAGACAAACACAAGTGACATAGAAATACATAATATACAAACTCATATGTGCAAATATAAAAATTACAAATCCATCCTGATGCAGAGATGCACTTAGGTAAACACATTAATTAATCACATACAAATGCACACACCATAAGATAACAAGATGTAGGAGCAGAAGTAGGCCAATCAGCCCATCGAGTCTGCTCTGCCATTCAATGAGATCATGGCTGATCTGATAATCCTCAACTCCACTTTCCTGCTTTTTCCATACACCCCTTGATTGTCTTACTGATTGTAAGACCTTAAGATGCACATATACATACTCTGGTGCATACACAAATGCATATTCATTGAATCATAGATTCCCTACAGTGTGGAAACAGGCCCAACAAGTCCACACTGACTAGCTGAACAGCATCCCACCCAGACTCACCCTTCCCCCCGAACCCTATCCCTGTAATCTTGCATTTCCCATTGGCTATTCCACACAACATGCACAACCTCCCTGGACACTATGGGGAAATTAGTATGGCCAATCCACCCTGCCTGCACATCTTTGGACTGTGGGAGGAAATTGGAGCACCTGGAGGAAACCCACGCAGACACAAGGAGAATGTACAAACTTTACTCAGACAGTCGCCCGAGGCTGGAATCAAACCTGGGTCCCTGGCGCTGTGAGGCAGCAGCGGTAACCACTGAGGCACCGTGCTGCCTATATGCAAATTGACATGCAAATACTCAAACCCAAGCAAACACAAGCATGAACAGACACTCACAAATGAAGAAATACACAGGCACCTACAAGCACAAACATAAAGCACAAACAGAGACTCAAATACACAGCTATGTGCACACAAGCATATAGGGTGGAATCTATGGGTCTGAGCAACATGGCCGAGGTACAATTTGTGATGAAGTCACTCAGGAAGATTAGCAAGGCCCCTCTCAACGTTTGAAGCACCTTGCTCCATCTTTTATGCTTATGTAGCGAGGCAACTTTCACTCTTGGTAGCAGTGAGTTACCCATTAAGGGGATTATTTCTTGTTAAAATATCTTATTGGGAAAAAAAACCCTGAGAGACTGCCTAATAATGATAATAAAGGCTGAGAGATGACCTTATCGAGGTTTATAAAATCATGAGGGGCATGGATAAAGTGAATAGCGAGGGTGGGAGAGTCCAAAACCAAAGGGCATAGGTTTAATATGAGAGAGGAAAGATTTAAAAGGATCTGAGGGGTAACTTGAATAGGAAGGGTTTGGAGGAATATGGGACAAATGCTGGAAAATGGGACTAGATCAGTTTAGGATATCTGGTTGGCGTGAACGAGTTGGACTGAACGGTTTGTTTCTGCGCTGTATATCTCAATGACTGTCTGACTCATCCATATACAGCTTCCTATCTTAGGTGTTGGGAAATCTTGCTATGAAAGTCAGAGTAGATACCTGGTGAGCATGTCAGGGCATGATACATGGGCACCACCGACATGCAGCCCTTGTCCACTAACATTGTCATCTTATATTTGCCAACTGCTCAGAACCACCATGGGACCTCTCCAATACACTGTTGTTGTACTCAGGAAGCAGAGGCTCCCACTACAGGGTGCACCAGTAACTAGCACTGAAAGGCTGCAATAATCACACTGTATATGCAGCTCATGGATTGGTCTGGTTTGACCCTCAGCGGGTGCTCACTTGGTCTCATAGCGCTCACTCACTTAGCACCTTCCTGCATGCTTGTGCCATCCTGCCTTGCCTGTTAGAGCTTCAGTCAGAGCCTAAGGCTTTCAGGTATGCTGTATTGATGCTCTCTTTAGCTCAGGCACACTGACAACATGCGTGTCTTGCTTCTCAGTAGACTCAGGTGGAGAAGGGCACAGCCTGATACACAGTACACTGAGACAACAATGTAACACCTACAGCACAGGCCAGCTGCCTCGTAAAAGACACTGCAGGTTCATTCAACCAAATGACCACGTTGGAAGCTGATGAGGGCTGGTCCCCAGTCCAGGCGAGGGGTTGCCGCCGTCTCTCAGGAATCCTGATATCTTTATTCACAGGCACAATCTACACAGGATCCAGGGTCTTGGCCATGATCAGTCGTCACCTTGGGACATTCATGGCCAGAGGAATGGGTAGTGGTCTGTGCTGTAGGGCCAGCAGCAGCAGTTAAGACAATAGTGTTGTGGAGCTGCAAACACAGAGGTGAGGGATCCGGTTAGTCACATATGAAGTGTATCACATCATCCTGGTGTGATGTGCTCTGGGCAATTGGAGCAGGCAATGTGCTGGATGCTGAGGAAGTGGCGCAATGGAATCCGTCTTCTGAGGATGTTGCAGAGGAGGAAGCTCTCTTGTGGATGACAGAGCTCAACTGCTTTGGGCACTACAAACCATCGAGGACCTGGTTGCCCTCAGTTCCAGTCGATGGGAACTAAGTGCAGCAGACAATTACAGGCTGTGAAACAGTCATTGCTCACTGCAACATCATTTGGCTTGCATTGTGAAAGTGGACGTCAGCCTCTATCAGTTTTGTGTCTGTAAATAAAAGCTCATGTTTGGAATTGTCTGATTGCTTGCCTGTATGTGATGATCTCCTAATGGGCTAGCTGCTGGTCTGGGCATTGGGAAGAGAACAGCAATAATATAGAGGGGAAGTTCAGATGGGTTATAGCTAGTGGTGGTTAACTGGTGGTTAAACAGTGATGAGAGTAAGAGAATGGGGTTGTACAGGTGAGTGAGTGTCAACTATGCCAGCTATGAGCAATGTGGCATTGTGGCTGCTGTACCTTTACACTGCTGGTGAGGGGCACCACCCAAGTGCCCAATTGCCAATGATTTTCTGAGTTCACAGTGGTATTTCAAAGGGTGTGAAGGAAGCTGTTTTTTTTTGCAGATAGTGTTGGGTGGGATGTTGTTCTGCGAATGGCCAATGGTAAAATGGGCTAGAATTGGACTTGTGGGATGCCATGAGGGCCAAGTGGATAGTTAATGAGGTGAGTTTGATAAAATACGGTGAGAAAATCCACTAAGCCTTGTAGCCTCCAGAAAGACCCTCCAGAAAACTCAATGTAACTCATGCTTAGCTACAATAAACATACGATTCAGCCCATAGATGTGGTACAAAATAAATGCACAGCTGCACAAACACACATATACGTATACACCAATATCCCAACACATGGATCTAAAAATCAGATTCAATCCATTACAGGAAGGGGGATCAGAATATACCATTACCCCATTCCCAGGAAAGGGTATCAGCAATCCTACAAAGGGACTTGGAGCAAATGGCTGGGGATGGCAATGCTCAACAACTTGCCCCCGTAAAACATTCAGTGACCTGCCATGTGTGGTCAAGGTCAGTGTCTGCATCTCCCAATGACACATCCTACCCATCTCATCACCAATCTGTCTGTCACGTTCCTCAAAGACACAAAGCCCTATCACATTGTACTCAATAACCAGGTCTCATGCCTAATATTCAGATACTCCATCTCATCCTCACACACTTAAAATGACCAGCCTCTCACCCACACCCCATTGCTTCTCCATAGTTTCAGCTGTGACAAACATCTCAGTTCAATGAACACTTTCTTGGTGAAACATAACTGCTGTGTAGACACTTTCTAACTGAGGCGGAGGTAGGAAAATCCCTAAAGACCCTTGGTGAGTGGAGCCTTCCACTGAGAACCCTCCTCTCCATTCTATCATAGAGCTTAGACAACTGAAATAGAAGTTACAGCCAAAGAGGGCCTGTTCCCATCACTGATAGCAGGCTTTCTGCTGACAGAACTCCAGACTCTTCCATCCTCCTGGCTGGCCACTTCCTTCTGACTCCAACTTCTCCAAAAACTTCCAGTAGCTCCACCGCTGCAAATGGAAGTCCATTCAGCTGAAAGGTCTTTGCTGATCCCGTTGAATAGCATTTGAGGGTGAATGGGGAGGAAGACACGGGGTCTCTCCTTGGGTTGAATTGTTCACCTGGTAGTCTTTTAAGAGGGTATGTGCAAGAACCAAAAAGGTAGGTTTGTCATCACATCACTGGTGCTGTTTGATGTGATGATTTGCTCACTCGCTTCTCTTCCATGCACAGCACATCCTGTCAAGCACAACACGCTGAACAATCCCTGCTAGAAGAAACTGGAAATGATTTTGTGCCATTTTTCAATCTCTAGGTTTATAAAGTGCCTGCATTAGTAGCACTATGTAGCAGCAAAATCCAGGTACACAAGTTTATCCAGAGGTATACACACACACACACCTGAATAACACATACATATAACACACACAGCTATGTAAGTACACACACGTACATGCATTCACACACACAGATTCTCACAAACAAACTAACTCTCAGGTAACACACACACAGTCTCTCACACAGAAACAAAACAACTCGCAGGTAAACACACACACAGACACAGTAACACAATCACACAAAAAATGCAAACGTGCAAACACACAAATGCATGTGCACTCACATGTGTGAGCACACACAGATTTTCCTACCTCCACCTCAGTTAGAAAGTGTCTCTACAGCAGTTACGTTTCACCAAGAAAGTGCTCATTGAATGGAGATGTTGGAATAGAAATAGAAATGTAGGAATACAGACATATATACACAGATTCAGTGGCTGAGATGGTTTCTATGGATTAGAAGCTGTGTGCAGCTGTGTAATTTCCTGACATTCAGACATGCTGTTCAAGTTCAAATTCTGTCAGCGACAGGGTAATGAACTATGCTGTAGATTGGGGGCTACCTGAGTAGGACGACAGTTGTGTCACTCCACGTGGATATGTTGCTGCTTGGTCTTTCAGCTACATTTAAACGTCCCACTGTTTCACCTTTCTTCCTCTAAGGCTTCACTTAACAAAGAATATTTAAATTGTTTTCTT